GCATTATTTCTTCCTTAAACACTTCGTAGAATCTGTCAGTAAAGGCATCAGAACCTGGAATTTTTGTTGGAAGATTTTTTAACTACAGCTTAACTTTTTTTAATAGATACAGGGCTTGAACCACCAACCTTTCAGTTAGTAGCCAAGCATTTAACTATTTATGCTACCCAGCAACTCCTTTGTATCTCCATATACCCCCAAAACCCTTCTGTCTTTTGCTATGGTGATATATACTGACATCTTTTGAAAATATATGCCACTTATTCCTTACTCCTTGTATTTTGACATCTATTCTTACCACAAAGACATCCTAACACCAAATTCAGTGACTTCCTTTTTCCCTCAATTCTCATTCTTGAGGTTTTTGTTTTTAATGACATTTAACATAGACTGCTTTCTTTATTAATCTCCAGCACTATGGTTGCTTGTTTAACCTTCCCCCAAGGTAATAACATTTCTTCTTCCATTTTACTACTACCACCATTTTACTGTCCCTACCCCCATCCTTTGATCATTAAGTTTTAAGTCAAAATTCAGTTAACATGTGAGTTGCTATTGGTATGCAAGACATTATATGATGCTGCGGGTGTACAAAGACAAGGAATATATCATTCTTTTTCATAAGAAACTTAGTGTCTTGTAGGGGAGGTATAATGTAGGTACGCTAACAACTGTAATATGAGGCTGACTCGTTTCATGAGGAACATACAAAGAGATCCCGAGTACAGAAAATATCACATCAGATTTTGGGGGTGCAGGAGTTACTAAGGAATTGTCTCAGCCTGAAACTCGTCTTTCCATGCTCTGTGACGCTGGGGCTACTACTCTGCAAACCACATTTCTGTTTTGCTAGCTGATTCCCTGTTAGATTCTACTGCCAAGAGGGAGCTCTAGAGGGAGGTTGCAAGGCTGGAGGAGGAAGAAAACACTTGCTTCTTCCTTTAGTTTCCTATAGCAGGAGCTGAATCCAGTTTGCAGTTTCTCTAGTCTAGAGCCAGCCTGAACATGTACTCCCTCCTCAGGGGTTTGGGCCCAAACTGTTAGGACTCTCCTCCAAGCTCAGAGATACATACTAGTACCAGCTAATCTGTGTCCTGTCTTCAGAGGCCTGAGTTTCAACTCTATGATGTTACCCCTCTAAGCTTCTAAGTTTCAAAAATATCATCTCTTTCCTTGTTCCCCAAGTTCTAGAGTTGGCTGCTTCCTGTAGTTGCCACTGCCATGATCCCTAGTGTTCTCTTCTTGCCTTTTCAATTACCTAACTAACAGTTTATACTTGGTTAACAACCCTTTATATAAAATTCTTTCTATTCATATAATTAATGTGGTTTCTGTCTTCTGATTAGACCTGACTGATACAGGGAGAAATCAGAAAAACTTAAGGGTGAAAATAGTATTTCAGTTTGATTTGAAGGAAGGGTGGAATTTCTGTAGGTGAGAATCAGGAAATTGAGTGAATATCAGCACAAGTAAAGGTAGTGAAAATGGGAAAGTATGTGTATATGGTATTTGGGAAACATTTTAAACTCCAGGGTTTTTTTTTGAAGCACAAAGTATATGTTAGAAAAAAAGATTTGAGAGAGAGTTTGGAGCAGGCATGAATTTGAAAGGTCTGGAACTCTAGGCTAAGAAATTTGGACTTAATTGGTAACAATTAAATAATTTTTTTTTTTACAGTAGAATAATAACCTGATAAGAATTCTCCTCTAGGGATATTTGGGTAATAGATTAATGACAGATTATTTTAGGGATCTACATTATGTAGGGTTCGATGAGCATCTTGGATAGATATCTTCTCATCTTTCACGATATCAGGGAAGTTTTCCCCCAACAAATCTTCAATTCTCTCTGTATTTTCTGTTATCCTCCCCTATTCTGATACTCCGGTCACTTGTAGGTTATTCCTCTTGCTAGAATCCTACATAATTCTTAGGGTTTCTTCATTTTTTTAAATCTTTTTATCAGATTTTTCCTGAAATAAGTTGGTGTCAAGTGCTTTATCTTCAGTCTCACTAATTCTGACTTCCATTGCCTCAATTCTGCTCCTATGACTTTCCATTGAGTTGTCTAATTCTGGAATTTTATTGTTAATCTTATGTATTTCTGATTGCTGTCTCTATGGATTCTTGCAGCCTGTTAAATTTGTCATTATGCTCTTCTCTAATCTTCTTAAGTTCCTCTATTGCAAGTTCTGCATTTTGCTTAATTTCCTTCCTAATCTCTTGAAGAGTTCTATATATTAATTGTTTGTATTCTGCCTCTGGTAATTCCAAGAAATTTTCTTCCCCTGGAAAATTGCTAGATTCTTTATTTTGGGAGCTTGCTGAAGCCATCATGATCTGCCTCTTTAATGTAATTTGATAATGACTGTTGTCTCCAAGCCATCAATAAGTTACTGTATTTATTTATTTTATGTTTGCTTACTGTGTCCTAGCTTCTTGTTTTGTTTTGTTTTGTTTTTATATGCCCAGATAGGCTGCTCATGTGAGCTAGCCCAGTCACCAGCACCCCTGAAGCTCCAATGTCCTGCCCCCAGGTGGCCAGACCTGCCACTAAGTATGTGATCCCAGGAGTCTGCCCACTGCTGTATGGATTCAGCTCAGGTGTCTGGGTAGTCGGCCACCAAGTATGTGGTGCAAGCTCTCACCTACAGTTCAAGACAGGCATGGGTGATTGGTGTAGGCACAGGCATCCAGCTGTAGCAGGGGGACACAGGCTGAGCAAGGCAGGGGGCTGACAGCCACCCCTGAGTGTCCAGGAGGAAAGTGTGTCCCTGTTCCCTAGAGTGCATAGATGGGTGGGTTTTGCAGCCAGACTATGAGCACCCAGTACTGTTGGCTGTAAGGACTGGGGGGCACCTCTTATTCTTGGGCCCCTGTCGCAGTGGCTAGGTGGCGTGGGTGGAGCCACGAGTCCTCAGGCCCCTGATGTGGGTAGGTGAAGACCCTGCTTAATGGGCAGAGCAGTGTCATATATCACGAACCTGCCACTTCACAGCTGAAACAGTTGAAGTTAGACTCCAGTATATACCCTTTTGTACTGTGGTAATGAGGGCCTTCGTTGTTGAAATGGGCCCACACAAGTCTGTGCAGGGGGAAAGGCACTCAAAAGTCCATGGCTCCCTTATGCCTGTTCCTGGGCACAGGAGCTGTTCCTACCCTGAATTCCTGGCTTAGGAGAGCCGGCAGATTATTTTTTCCCCGGTTTGTTAATTCATTCACCCTCCAAGGCTGGGTGAATGGCTCAGGGCGCATGACGGGTACTACTTCTGGCCCAGGGGGCTCAGCAATTGCTGAAGCCAGTTCCGGACCCAGTGCAGAACCGGGAGCGGGTAGGTGAGTGGGAGAGAGATTTTTCCCTAAGGGTGGTATTTTTGATCCACACGGTCGGCCAGACGCAAGTACTTAGCTTTTGCGGATTGAGGGCTGCTTCTCACTGGTTCCGGATGGCCAAATAGACTCTCTGCCACTGGGTCTCTCCCGATCTGGAAAACGCCTCCTGAGCGCCACTGCTTGCCTGCCTCACCGCTCACCCCCTAGCTGATCCAGCCTGAAGGGCTCAGGCTCTCGCCAGATCAGGTCTAGCAACTCCTTGCAGCTTCCAAACCATCTCTCCCTCCCCCTGCCACTCAGTCCAGTTCCTCAATTTTGCCTTTGATGTTCAGGGCTCCTAGATTGTCATATATAATCGATTCACTTGTTTTTTCCGGTCTTTGTTGTAAGAGGGACCACCGGAAGCATCTGACTACTCTGCCGTCTTGGCCCCACCTCCTAATGACAGATTACTTAAAAAACTGAGGGATGCATGTGGTAAAAATCTTAATGTTAAAGATTATGCAAAGCATCACTCTTCCTACAGAGTATTCATTCAGGACATACTGAGGGCCTGTGTGTTAGGAATGCAACAATGAATTTGAAATATGAAAGCAGTCTCTGTTCCCAAGTCTGGTGGAGAAAAAAGAGAAATACTTAGATAATTATAAAACAAAATGGATAGGTATAGGTTTGCAAAGAGAATTATGGGCATATGATATAGGGCACAAAATGTGGCCTGAAAGTGTCAAGAAGGACTCCTTGGCTTGTGTTTTAAAGGGTGACTAGGGATTAGTCATGCATAAAAGAGAGTATGAGGCAGGCTTAAGGAACAATTCTGAGAAAAGGCAAAGAGGGAGAAACAGCATTGTATTGACAGCCTAATGGGAAATTGTAAGATCTTTTCAAGAACAAGTTCTTTTTTCCCTTTTTTAGGTGATGTTTCTGCTAACAGATGAAATCAAATTGAGAAGGTGCCTTAGCTGTTGCAACAATGCATATAATACATAATGTATCTTGGTTTCTAAAATCCTGTGGTTTTTATAGACAATATATCAAAATGAATGGATTTTAGCTACCCCATTTACTAAAATTCAGTCCTTATTAAATGTCTTTTTTGCTAATGTGTATATGGGAAGGGTGTGTGTGTGTATTCAGAGAGAGACACATATATAGGATGGGGAATTGTGATAGGAGCACAAAAGAAATATCAGGATAGCTATTGTATTCATTTATAATACTTTTTCCCTAAGAGTTAGAGGTACTATACTAGAGAACTTTTAAACCACAGAAGTAATGTTTATGTTGAAAAATATGTACATCAAAATTGTAAGATGAGGGGACAGAAGAATCAAAAGAAAGAAAGGAGGAGAGAAATACAGGGAAAGGAACCAAAGAAAAAGTATTGTTATTTTCTGTCATCATTTTCAGCTTCTTAAATTGAACCGAAGGCATAAAAGGAGACCCTTATAAAAGAACCAAGTTAGGGAAGTTCTCCTTAGACCTGTATAGTTGACAGAAAAGCAGTCTCTGGCCATAGTTCTCATAGAGTTAATGCTCTCCAGATGTACCACGATTACATAATAGTTGGAAAATACCCAAGTTGTGTATTGCGTGTGTGTATTGTGTGTGTGTGGTTTTTAAAAAATTATTATCAATTGGGTTTTTTTTTATTGTTTTGGTGTTTAGGCTAGACAGCAACAAGCAGAACTGGCCCAGCAGGAATGGCTTCAAATGCAGCAGGCTGCCCAGCAAGCCCAGCTTGCTGCCTCAGCCAGTGCATCCAATCAAGCAGGATCTTCTCAGGATGAAGAAGATGATGATGATATCTGAAATTCGCCAGCTGAGTTTCTGTTTCCTCTATAAATGTTTTTCCCCACAACAAAACAGTGAAAGAAATGCTTATCTGTAACTGTATGCATCTTGGTGGACTTGCCGTTGGTATTCTAGGGATGTCTGCTGTTAAGTTTCATCTATTGTGTGCTATACATGTGAAAACTGTCTCTTTGAACTATTGAAAATTTAAGGTTCAGTATAATACCAATTTTGAATTTTTAATGGTGTTTATGAAATTTTAGATAGCTGTGAATCCTTTATTTGATCAATAAACAGTGTTATAGAAAACTTGAAGTTTATAAAAATACAGTAAAATTTATACAGAATCTCTACATCTGCATTTGCATTTCATCTGCCCTTTTAACTAAACTAAAAATTGGGAATTTTAAATTATTTTGGAGGGGTGTAATACAGTAGACATTGGATCAGGTTGGTGAAAAAAACAGTTCAGTTTTGTAGTGTCTGAATTTTTTGTCTTTTTAAAGTGAGTATATATACAGGCAATAAATATATATGCTCAGGTAACTATACTTGTTTAAAAAATCTCAAAACAAGACATTAAACTAGGAAGGAGTAGGTTCAATAGTAGTTGTATAAATTTGCTGAGTTTCGTTTTGATTTTGTTTTTGTTTTGTGTATTGGTAAAAGGTACAGTTTTGTTATGGCATAATTTATCTTGAGCTACACTATTACATTTCAAAGACTGCCCCATTTTGAGGATTGTCATGATTCTTACTATTTCACTCCAATTTAATAATTGTTAATAGTATTACTTGCTTTGTTCATCCATGTTCATATTATTCAAATATATAGAAGGAACTTGTGAAACAATTGCTTGAGTTCCGTTGGTTTAAACTAAAGTTCGTGAATATTCAAACCTTTGCTGGGGGAAAAACAGGAAAGTTAATGAGTATGCTTGCTATGAAAGAGGGATTTTTTTTGTTTAATTTAACTTGCAGTTATAGTTTACTTACTGTTTGTTTTTAGCATTACTTTTACACTTTCTTGACTGGCTGACCTAAAGAGTCCAGTGCTACCTTTTGAAATGACACCAATCTCTTTCATTATAATTGAGTGATAACTTTAAAAAAAAAAAATTGGTTTTGTTTAAGAAAGCGTTACATAACTTATCAGCACTATATGAAACTCAAATAGTTAATTTTAACCTGCTAGTTAAAGGGGAAGAGCTTTAATTTGGCTTCGGTAATAAAGTATGGTAGTGATTGTTGTAGGAATCCAGCATGTTGAAGAAATGGCATATTGCTCATATTTTGGAAACAGAAAGGAAAAGTCACTTATCGTGTGAGGTAATCTAAATTCCTGTGTCAATTGCCAAACCTTTAAATTTCTGTATTTACCAACCCCAAAATAGATGGTAGCTGCCGTGATTACAATTTTAATTGGAAAGCTAAATATAAGTTTACAAGTATTGGATTTCTTAATGATCATATTTTGCAGTTTTAGAAAAAGTGAAATATTGTCATACATTTATTAAATATACTTCCCCCATGCAACAAAAAGATTAGTTTTGCTGAATGTTTAAGTTGGCTTTTCTAATTTGTACTGTAACATTTTTACACTTTGTTTTAAGTATATCTGTTTCTTAAGTAAACAACTTAGATATTTTTCCACACCTTTTGTTTTCCTGATGCAGAGTTCAGGTTAATTAATATTTTACTGCATCTGATAATGTATTATATGTTTGAAACCTAGTGTCTTTTCATTTTGACATTCTTGTGATTTCATATGCTGTATTCTTCAAGCAATAAAATTCTGATGTGTTTTATAAATTGTTTTTATATTTAATGAGCTGTGCGGACTAATGGGAGGAGATCTCTATTACAGTAAAACCTGCGAAAGCGAGAACCTGTGTAAGGCAGAAACCTGTCAGAGAAAAAAGACTCGAATATTTTCCACTAAAACGAGCGATAGAAAGGTGGTAAGACTGCACCCTGTCAAAGGCAGAAAATTAGTGAGACCTGGGAAAAAAAGGCAGTCCCTTCAAGTTCCGGCTCTGACAGGTTTCACTCTATTACCATTTGACTAGTTTCAAGAATCTTAGGCGCAAAAGACATCTTGGTCATTTGGCATGTAGTACCCACCTTTCTCCCTTGTTTGCTATTATTTCAGAAAATGTGTTTTTACTTGTATTTTGTAATATACAGTCCTTATGATCCAGGATAACAAAGCTAGTTAAGTATTGTTTTACTTTTAGATTCTGTTGTAACATTGTAAGGTATTATATTCTGTCAGATGTTGAAATTTTTAGACTCTTTTGGAGAAAGAAACAAATTCTTCAGAGTTCTTCAAAAGTAGAATTGCTTTTTAGTATTTACTCCATCCCCTTTAATATATGTCTGTCTTTTTCAGCAGATAATCATATTGATAAGAGTTGAAAAGGCACCAATTTTTTTTTTTTTTTTTAATATTGTACTTCAGGTGAAGGCTTACAGAACAGATAGTTTCTCATGTAACAGTAACACACATGCTGTTTTATGACATTGGTTAACA